ATTGAATCAGTTGTATACCCTGGATATTTCAGGGATATTTTCTTTTATCGAAATAAGGTTGAGCAGTTTTAATGTTATAGGCGTTACTATTAAGCTTGAGTAGTTTCTCAGATAGTTTTCCTTCTATGATTGCTTGATGTTAGAATTTGTTACTTTGATTGACAATCATTTCGAAACATCATTAGTCGTAATGTCAGTATGAACATATGATTACTTCTTACGAGTACCACTAACTTATGTTGATTTGTGTCTTGGAAAGTGCTTTTGTCTGTTTCGTGACGATGAAGTAAGTGGCATTGAACGACAGTTTTCGGTATTACTAGGCTATTCTCAGAACAGTGATTTACACTGGTTAACGACTACTCTCTTTCTTTTTGTATATTCGTAGTGAAAAACAATATGTTAACCAGCTACCAAAAAGGTGTTAACTACATTTAACTACTTCAACGGTTTTCGACATCTCCGTCCGAGTACAGAACTAGCAGCTGGAACTGCGCGATGTTGAAGAAACATGATGGCGAGCATTTGAGTGATAGAATCAACTGTTTTATCAATCGTTGGCAGCAATTTGAGGCCGGTAATGGTTCTAACTGAAAGTCAGATTAAACGAGCTTGTTTATTCGCTACAGATTTTTCTACAGTTTGCCAAAATGAGTAACAATTTTTTCGTTAATAGCCCTGTATTTATTCGCTATCTGAGGACATGTTACTATTCGTCGGATAAAATGAATATCCCAAGTAGAAGCGTGGGAAAAAATTCCCGAATGCCCCATTCTCCTGATTCTCAAAACTTGAGATGTTCAAAATAGCAATCGCCCAGACATTTCGCTAGATCATACATACTACGTTCTGCTGTTTCGTTCCTTCGGGTTGGTGAGCCTGTGGTAAATCGTTGGCCAAATATGATATATTCGATAGGTTAATAAAATAGATCATCGTAGTACCAGACGTTCGTTTAGAACACAGTATAAAAATGACTTATTTATGCACAACTCTACAAATTTTGCTATGCCAGGATATTGTTTCGGCCGTCACTGGCGGCCTTCTTCAAAATAAACGGGTTACTCAGTTTTTTATCGTTCGCGGTGGTTGATGCGTTCGGCGCCAGAAGGCAAGTGCTGCCGGTTCACCAGATCTCTGGCGATATGGGCGACGAGGCCTGTCCAGTCTGAGAAGAGTTTGTATCATCGGTTTATCTTGTGGCTTTGCTAAATGGTTTATGTCTCTTCAATTCGCCTGTTCAGCCTTTGTCTTTCTTTGATGATGCCGATGCATTCTGATTAGCGGGTGGGTTCCTTATTGTGCCTCTTGTTGAACAGTTCCGGAAATGAACCTTCGTTGTGTTGTTTTCAGTATGACCACTGATGCACGAACGAAATTTTCAGTTATAGAAGACATTCACTTCCACGTTACCCTTCTGACGAATTGTCCCTCATTACTTTCTCTTCGGAGTTCCTTAAGCGTCTCTAAATAACCGAAGCGCCAAACTACAACGAACAAGCGTGAAATGACATATTTGCACGTGATGACAATATCAACCATGTCAGTGGTTCTTAAAAAGGGACGATGGCTTGAAGATAAACTTTCAAATTCTGTCTTTGCAACTGTTTCCAAATTTGTGGTTTCAGCTTCTGTCTGTCGCAATAATGCGATGATCGTCTCGTCTCCCTTGACAGTATGTTCGAAGTGACATTTCTAGCTCTAGATGCTACCCTGACAATGTCCATGAAGGATGCTTTGTCCTTAAAATAATCTTTAATCTTTGTTTATATAATTCGACCTGTTAATGGAGAAAGTTTGAATGAAAAATTAATTTCTCATTTATTATTGTATTTCACTTTGACGATATTACGTTATCAGTCGCGAAACGCATCTGTGATCAGTCAAAGGTATTTCTTTTCTGTAGCTTTTTAACGCGATTGGGCTGAAACTGTCAGTCGAAAAATTAAAGATTCGTTCAACTCTTGACCAGAATCGACATCAACTTCAAAAGATGATTTTAAAATTCAGTTTAAAATTGTTGAATTCATCTTCATCTTCCATCGCCGCTTTTCTTTTCGGTCGCGGAGGCAGACACGTCAGAGAGAGCTTCCAACGTTCCCGATCCTATGCCGGAGTCTGAGCTTCGGCAAAAGACAAATGGAGTCTGGAACAGACTCTTTCCATATGTTTGCACCAGGTTAATCTTGGCCGTCCCCTGGGCCTTTTGCCAGTCGGATTTGCAAGGAACAGTTGCTTAGCCTTCTATTCTATAGGCATTCGCAACACATGCCCAAGTCATCGCAGCTGTGACTTCTCAATCTGGAGATGCAAAGGCTGTATTGTTGAATTGATAAATTGAAAATTTAACAACTGGATTTAAACAGATTTGTGCTTATATGCTGTTAGCTTCCACTTACTAACTTATACGCAGTAGAATAGTTAGTACTTATCAGAGTATGTAGCAGTGTACTTAAATTAAATTTATTTCGGTACAACTCAATGAAGTTCGCCGTGAAACGCCTACTTAACGCTTGATTATTGCAGCTATCATTCCCATAACAACCAGAGACAGAGAACTATTGCCTTTGCACTTTGCCGCTGACCCAGGTCCCGACTTCACTTGGTGGGAGGACGAAGAGGATGCGAAAATTGCCATGTTTACAGATCTTGGTGACGTAAAGAAACTTGAACTTATTTCTCAATACATGGACCTTGTGAAAATTCCTGTGATAAAGGGCGAACGGTTTACTAACGTTAATAGTGGTGGTAACGAAGCGGCCAAGTTGCTCCAAGACGATGCTCAGCGTCGATGGAACACTATACCATTGGTGAAGTCTGTCGGCAACCTGTATTCAGGGGGCTCCCAGACGTTTTCCAGAATCACGAAGTCGGTGAAGCAGAAGTTTATGTCCGGGTATAGATCGAAGAAGGGCGAGTACGATTTCATGAAGATCAACCAGAACCAGAAAGCCGACACTGATCTACCAAAATTTCAGCGTGTGGATTCCACAATGTTGCGCGACGTGAAAAGCAAGGATGTCATCATTGGGGCGAAGCTATACACAAATTTGAGGTCGCAGTTCATGGAGGAGATGATCGACAATTATCTTAAGGCAGCTCGCACGCGTTTCGAGGGAAGGAAGGAGGGCGGTATGGAAACTACGAAGCGCGAGCGCCTCAGTCGAGGCTTCAACAGTGGCGTTTCTGCGGAGGTGCTGTTGCTTAAGTCGCCGGACAACGGCAACTCTGTCCCCCTTTACGAACGGCCGTCCAGTCCGTCGAAAGCCATCGACGATCGCAGCAGCAGCTTCGCCGAGTGTCAGCTACGGTCACTGATCAACAACGACTCGATGAGCAACGCGGTGGCCCAGAACTACAGTGATTTGATGCAGTCGAACGACATGGCAATGAATGCAACGGTGATCCCTGTTAATGATGAAGACATGGAGCCAGTGGTGAGGGAGCATCTTTCCGTGCGGAGTTGCAGCAGTTTGTCAGACTCGTTTTCCGAAGACCTGGAGTTACCGCCCGTTGTTGACGGTTCTGTCGTGACTGTCGTTCGCTACGACATCGATGATGACGCCGAAATGAAAACGACGCCAAATGCCACCTCGTCTGCTGTCGAGGCACGGCCGAAGTCGGTTACGGAAAAAACAGAGAAGCGTACCGACGGCCCCCTGAAGATCAAGTATGACGTATCCTCGGTGACAACCTCGCAAGGTGTTACACATTATTTTGTTACACATTCTTCTTAACGTGAAATGCACTTTCCGTTTTAGAAACTGTAGTGGTGCAATCGGAGCTGTTTGGCTGATCATGTGGAAATGTATAGAGCTTTGTCTTTTATTTATTTATTTATTTTTCTAAATTTTCATGAATCGATTCATTGCACCAACTCTGAGCTGAGACCTTTTTTTTTTAATTTTTGTTCATCATCGTCGTCTCGTCATATACTCTAGGAAATGCGATGCTTGCTCGTTTTATGCATGCAGTTTACAAACTAACACCATGATTTGTTTTCCTCCATTTTTAATAAAACATCTTTTTGACACGTTGTTTCAGCGCCTAAAATTATGTAATCTCGTGTCTTTATCTTCCGTCACCTATAAGGGAAGATCGACTTCAGGACTCATGTCAGAAGTGTATGAGTGAATCTTCAGATCGATGAAGATGCACTAAATGGTTTCGTGATTGCGAACCTTTGATGACTGCAACCGGTGACTAATCGATTTTAACGGCTCTAAGCTTCTGTTTTACGTTCTTGTTTGCGTTGTTCCCTTCCGTTTAGGTTTTGTAGACGAACCTTTTGTTCGTCAGTGCCATTATCACTGGTAAAGATGCGTAACCACGTTGTTGGTATGCAGATTTATAGCTTGATCAAAACAACGTATCTATCTGTTGAAGATGAAAAAATACGAATGGAAGTTAAACAGCAATCTGTTATGGCAAAAGTAGAACGAGACTGTCAAACAGTTAAGAATGAAAATGAACAAAATCGCGATAAAGCCTGTCAGTAAGGGTATGGGTTGTGTTTTGTGTGACAACCGAAATGGTTTGTGACGCCATAAATTTTTTAGTTGCCGTCGTGATGCAAAACTTTCTTCGGATTCACATTCCGTAACGCCCCGACCCTTTACGTTTACCAAACTAGCAACCATTTAAGCAGTACTTACTAATTGCAATACTTCGTTTGATCGAACAGTACGTGCTCGAGCACTAACCAGAGGATTTGCCGCGATGCGTATGCATATGATTAAAAATTGCCACGGTATTATGAACATATTAGCATAACCGCCTTAGAATGTCGCATTATCCTCCTCCCGATTCGCACTTCTCAGTCGCCCTTGTTCCTGTTTTCTAGTAGCGTAGGCAGTACATAAGCAGGTCATGCCTTCACAGTATTTCAGCACCTACAGTGCATGGGCGTAAACAGAGACTTTTTGTTGAATCGAACAGAGTCTGTTCAAATGCAAACAGATAAATTGACGGTTCAGATCCGGAATACATGCATCAAGGTTTCCGAGTTAAGGTCGACGTCTCCACCTTCGCGACTTTCTTTTAGAAGAACGGGCAAAATACTTTAACAACAAAAACGGAATATGCCTTTTTTCTTGCAGCAAAGTGATTAACGTCTCGTTTAATCTGCTCCACACTGAACGAATATTTGAGGATATGCATACTGATAAAATGGATTGCATTTTTCGTCAAATTTTTCAAGAGAAAACTGCCATTCTGTACGACGCTTGTATTTTCGTTGGTATGATTATCAAGTATAAGATCAATGGTAGCGCGATTCTTAAATGCATTCGCTGGTAACGTTACATGTTTAGCTCGGAAAGCTGTAATATGTTAAATGAATTAAGTGTACCTGTCGATCTATAAATTAAGACTTGGGTGTACTGTACATTACATTTCGCGAAAGTGCTTAAATGATAATATCAACGCGGAACAAAAATTAGCAACTAACAATGGAAGTGATTTATGCAATATGTTACAAAGCGAAGGAATGACCAGTGGCTTGTTATGTGATTGATTTTTCATCACCTGAAATTTCCAATCGGAAAGCAGTTCTATTTTTAAAAGGAATCAAGTGGATGTGTTCTAAGTTAGTGACGCGAATGGTATTCGACAAGAACGTAAAATGGGGCAATTAAGTCGCTTAGAAAAGGGTAGTGTTTTTTCGTCTTTAGAAAGTAATGAGCGTTTCAGCTATAATGAGCAAATAAATTTATTGTTTTGGTCTGCAGAGGACAAGAAGCTAATTATGGAATTACGTCGCTCAATCGTGGTGGCTAACAGGAGCACGACCATTGTTACCATTACTTGGCATTTGTTCACAGAAATCTTTGCTTTTACCCTTAGACGAAGCTGTGTTGTATTCGGCGAGAACGTTCACTATCATTCTTCATGCTAAAGACATATTTGATAAGTTATTGCTTTTTTTCAAAACTGGCGTAGTACACGTTAATGATCTCAGCGTGGGCGAAACGCTTGCTCTGCTTTGCAGTCCACAAGGCAGAGAATTGACACGGACCAATGTAAAATTTCATATGAATGTTGCAGAGTTTCCGTGAAAAATATTTCCCTTTGCATAGGAAAATAAGAATTAGGACTAAAATAGAACAAAAAGGCAAATAAGAAATACAAAAACAAATGGTCTAAACGTTTATAATGAGATAATGGTGATTTTTGGGATCCATCCTTGAAAACTTTTTATTGAACGTCACTGCAGAACTAATTTGGATCAAGGACTAAACTGTCAATGTATAGCATCGAAATTGCGGCTCGGTAAGGGTCCAGGACTGTAATAGATTATTGAATAATCGAGTTTCTCGACCCAACTCGCACAATGTGGAGTCGCTGACGAGTCGGCATTAATTCCTACAGCGGTACACGAAAGTAACATTCTGGAATATTTCCTCAGCTTTTACGGTTGTGCAGCTTTCGCCGAGGCAGTGAGACTTTCACAAGTGTCGTTCTTTTGTATGCAACGCATCTAACAATGCCATTACATTGTTATGTGCGACCGTGATGAAAAGACCTATTATGTCCACTTGAAATAAGATCCTGGGATGTACCAGGAAATGGCTCCTTGGCAGCATAAAAATATCAGACATTTCATTGCCTTTAAAAGGAAATACCAGAAATTGAAATATTGAAGCTTTTCGACTTTGCTCGTATCGATGCATCAGCGCATAGGTATGAACGATTGAGAAAAGCATACTGATCTACCACATGTGTATCGATACCAGAGCACAGCACATGCCAGCCCTCAACTATGCTATGTGCGCGTCGCTTCAACAGTTTATATGCAAGCCGTGGGAAGGCTAAAAATTTTAGACTTATTCACTAGTTACAACAGTACTTTTTCCTGAATCTAGGATTCAGAACAGAAATATCGTCGTCGTCAATGGTTCATTGGCTACGTGACTGGCGTATAAGATTTTTGTAAGAAGTGCTCGTTTCTGGTATAACCAATCACAACAATAAAGCGTATGGTTTTAATGCTTGATGAACGGGTGCAATCTGAATACGAATATGAACAAGCTGAGAAAGGACAAACATCGTTAGTACGTTTTTTAGAGGCGTGTCATTTTCATAAAAGATTTGTGGGCGATTGATAACTAATGAATGATTTTTGTCCCTTCTGATTTTTGCCATTTTTTTAAACTGAAAATAAAAGACTCACGGAGTACCCTTTGCTGATCTACTTGAAACTGACTCTTCAAGTGCTGCTGACTCGTGTCCCATGCCAGACACTTCGTTTGCATAACGGAATATCGCGATTTTATTGATCTGCAGTGTTTTCATGTTCTTAGGTACAAAAGTATGCATTTATATATCAAATCTTTGTTCCTGTTGTAACTACCTGCCGTTTATCTGGCAGAGATACCCATGTAGATGATGGATCACTTGGTTGAAATCAGTAAAATTTCATCTTCAGCATATATTCAGTCAGTCACAAAGTAAAACACGAATAAAACAGCATGATCGTATG